TACCTACCGGCAACTTTGATTGATTCTGTAGTGCTAAATAAACATTTCAGCTGTCTAACCCCAGACCTGGGGGCTGCATTGTAAAACAGGATTTCCTTGGGTTTCTTGGGGTTTATGTTATCTCTGATTGTGTGAACATTGTCACACCAATAAGCAAGCCATTTTAGCTATATTTAGAGGCTGAAGCTTTTTACATAGGTTGGAAATTCTGTTCAGCAATGCACAATAAGAAAAAGGAGTTGCTTTTTGAGAGGCGTGTTGTTTCCTTTCAAGATACATAACTGTGTGCTACCTACTGCATTCCAAAATTTGCTCTTTTGCAGCTTCATTTTGACATCTCAGATTAGTAGGGCCATTTCCTTATTTTTTGAAGTAAACAGATTAAGGTCCATCTGCATAGTTGATAAATATTTTAAGTTACCTTTTCTCATTATTAGTTAAAAGTAATTGGAGATTAGATGTGACTAAGTATAATATGTTGACTATACTATAAATGATACTCTAACACTCTTCATTGTTAGGAAAGGACAGGTTTTAAGAATAAGTACTAAGACATTAGGACAATGTTTAATAAAGTAGACACCAAACTTTATTTATTTATTTATTTATTTATTTATTTATTTTGGTTTTTCGAGACACATTTCTTTGTATCATAGCCCTGGCTGTCCTGGAACTCACTCTGTAGAACAGTCTAGACTTGAACTCAAAGATCCACCTGCCTCTGCCTCCCAAGTGCTGAAATTAAAGGGATTAAAGGTGTGTGCCACTATCGCCTGACTACTTTGCAACTGCTACTAGTTTGCATATTCAGATAGAAGACGTGACACCCCCCCTTGCTTTGTTCCCAAGCATCTTTTACCTTCTGTAGTACTAAAATTATATTTAGCCAGACAGATTTAAAGGAAATTCAAATGGTTGGTTGTGAATTTAATGACATAATGACTAAACTCAAACAATTTTGTGTTCAAATGAGAATATAGAAATTACTGACAGGGGACAGTTGGAGTAGGAAGAATAATTGCTCTTATAGTCAACACCATGGGTGTAAAGTTAGCTCAGCCTACTACTACTACTAAAGAGTATATTTTCCCATAGACCTCTCCCTTTATTTTACCTGTTGGGTATTTCCTACCTCAAGACATTTTGGCCATCGTGTACCCTTTCTTGAGAGTGTTCCCACACTTGATTTGGAATGGCTATTAATTCTTTGTATTTAAATGCACTCTGCTAGGCCATGGATGAATGCTTTGCATATAGTAAATTTTCAATAAATAATGAATGAAGACTATACGACTGATAGTAATGGGTGAATGAGGAATATATAACAGTGATAGTAATGGGTGCTTGATTACAAAAGAAAATGCAGAGGAATTCTTTCACATGGTTGAAATCAGAACTGGTAACTGTTAAAACAATTGTCTCAACATAAAGTGTCTCAAGATACATAAAAGGATCTGAAGTTTACAAAAGAAACATTGTCAGGGCATCAAACAAGGGGAAGAAAAGCTGCAGGGCTTATTTTGCAGGCTATTACACACCCGAGTGTGTGTGATAGAGCAGATAGCACTTTTAGTTTTAAAAGTTTTGTCAGACCGGAGAGATGGCTCCATGGTTAAGAGTGCTTGTTAGCTGCTCTTCCAGAGGACCTGGGTATTCCCAGTACTCACACAGCAGCTCACAACTATCTGAGACTCCACTTCCAGAGGTCTGACACCTTCATACCAGTCACGTAAAAGAAAGTTAAATTATTTGTTTAAAAGCTTTGTTAATATATCCAACTGATGTGGAGGCAGATGGCTAGGCTGTTGAAATTTTCCACTTTCATATACTGTATGTATTGCAGGAGAATGGTTTCTTTATTCCTCCAGGCTTATTGACAAATGAACAAAAAAGTATATTCTTTAGTCTTAACTGTTGGCACTTTCCTTTTTGAGATTGCTGCCCAGGTACTATTGTGAAAATTTGATCAAAATACAGCTTCAGTTCATGCAAACTGGTTTCATCTGCGGTACAGAATTGCTGAGTGTACAGATTTACTGCAGAGCTTGAATAACTTCTGCCCATACTTCACCTACATTTCTGGGAGTGTATGTGGGGCAATATTTTTTAGATAGGGTCTCTTGAAGTCCAGGCTGGCTTTAAACTGCTTTATAACAGAGGATAACTTTGAACTTGCCTTTTACATCCACAGCCAGAGTGCTTTGGCAGGCACCAGCTTAGCCCATATTGGAAAAAGTACTAAGTATGGAGGCTTCTCTGTGATTGCAGTGTTTTTGCAGAGGATAAAGTTGTGGTTTGCATATCTTTACCCATACGCCCTTAGCCCAAGGAAGCCAGTGGAATTCAGAAGAGTTACTGTAAGGGTCACTACCTTATCAACCAATTGAGCAACAGGTAAGGAGAAAACAAAAACCCAGAAGACAGAGAACAAAATAATTCAGGACTTTGGAGAGGCCTGGACAGTCATGTTGTAAGCATGGAATTTTGCAAGGGTAACATGATTATGATGTATCATGCTAAGAGGTCACCAATGACTAATGACTTGCTTAAGATGGTGCTTTTAAATTTATGGGTTAATTGACACCCTAATTATGTCATCTTTGGCTTTTAAAATGTCTGGTTTTAGATGATGTTCATGGTGAATATCCTATTTAGTCTAAATAGGTGTTCCAGATTTGGTCTAGGCTTAGGAACTGGGTCTGTAGTCTCAAAAGCTCTTTAAAGAATCCATTCTAAACAGTTAAAACAGAATGGAGGGCTAGATGGTGGGGGTGTACATCTTCACTCCCAGTATTCAAGGCAGAGGCAGGCTAATCTCTGAGATCCAGGACAGCCAGGGCTTCACAGAGATACCCTGTTTCAAAAAAACAAAACAAAACAGAATAATGGAAGAATCTTTCCAAGGCCATCATGAAATCTGGCATGTTATTAAAAGTTTCTATTTAAAAAGTACTGAGGAGCCTTTAAGCTATAAATGGGAGCCTTAGGGCAGTTTAGAGAAACGGATTTGATTTCTTCAGTGAACAAAATTTTCTAAAAGCATAGAGGTCACCTTGTCTTATGAGAAGCATAACTAGTTATAAAAGGATAGACATGACCCTGCCTAGAACTCAGGGTGGAACTCTGATGGATACAACTTAGGGCTTACCCTGTTGATGAACACTATCATCAAAGCCCATTTCTCCAAAAGAGCTAAGCAAATACTAATAATTTGTTAGGACAGCTTGTTAACATTAGGACATGAGTATTGATTTTAGTAGTCTATTTCTAGCCTTTTCTTTCCATAAGTCCTTGATGCTATTCATAAACAAGGTGTCTTACACAGGAAGAAGTGAGTTCTCTTCAAAATAAAAAGCTATGTCTTAATCATACCCACATCAAATCTATGCACCTTTTGTCCCTCGTGCTTGTGATGTGTGTAGTGGACTAAACATCCAGGACCACCAGGATATCCTGTCTTAGTTCTTGGGTTGTACCCATCTTTTCCTTTTGGCTTCCTAGTTATAAGAAAAATACATAGTTACTTGAAATACAGCCTAAAATTTGTTATACAATGTCCTTTTAGGTGAGTGAGTAAAAATGGAAAGTTTTGATTATGGTTTCTAACCACTACGACCTATCAGAAATCACAGTTAGTTGCGGCTTCAGATGTGGCTAAGTAGTTCTCTGTGGGTCCATGATCCTTGGTGTTCAAACGACCCTTTTACAAGGGTTGCACATTTACATTAATTCATAATGACAATATCACAGTTATGAAGTGGCAATGAAATCATTTTAGGGTTGGGGTCACCACAGCATGAAGTGTATTAAGGGGGGTTGGGAACCACTGCACTGACAGCTCTTCAGAGGACCTGAGTTGGATTTCCAGCACCTACATGCAGCTCACAACCATCTGCAACTCCAGTTCCAACATAATTGGATGCCGACAAAACCTTACACCTAAAAATATGAATCACTGTAATCCATGCTAATGGGAGCAAGGAAGTAATTTTCTTGGGTGACTCCTGTTCATCCTAGCACTGACAAAACTGGGTTGGAATTGACACCAGTTCAAGGCTAGTCTGGGTCACAGAATGAGAAGCTGTCTCAAAAAAAGAAAGCAGGTGGTCCAGTGGGTAAAGAGGCCTGCCTTTCACTATGCTGGCAATGAGGACAACTCACAAGGCGGCCTCGGTGCCACCCATAGCCCTGCACAATATACAAAGTATAGAGGCCAGCAGGTAAGAAAGAAAGCCTTTGTTGCTATTGCAGAGTACTGAAGATTGCCAGCACGGCCTACTGCTGGAGCTCTCAAGCCTTTTAATCGCACATGGGAGGCAGAGACTGGTAGATTACTGAGTTCAAGGCCAGCCTGGTCTACAGAGAGAGAGTTCTTGCACAGCTAGGGCTACACACAGAAACCTTGTTTTGAAAAACCAAAGGGTACAGGGGAAGATTCCCAGCACCTATGTTAATAAGGAAAAGAGACTAGACTAAGGTAATTTGGCAGTCGGGACTGGCGGCAAACCTGTAATCTCAGTGCTCCGGAAGCTGAGGCAGAAAGGTTGCCTTGAATTCTAGGCCAGTCTGGGCAATACGGTGAAACTCTGCCTCAACACCTCGGTCTCTGCCCCCTCACAAAAGGGAATGATGCTCTAAACCTGTAGCCCCAGCACTTGGCAAGTGAAGTGGAGCAAGGGTCCTTTTCCTGTTTGGACTATGAGACTATCACAAAGCACCGGTAAAAACAATGCAATGTTTCCTTAGTGTTTAAGAGGGGGGTAGCAGGTAATTTTCCTTTTAACAGGACAGCTCTGAATAACCTTCCCACCCACCTGTCCCTTTCTCATCTCAAGAACCTTATTCATCAATTTTCTACCGAAGCGTAAACTACCCGGCCTAAATACCAAAGGTATTTAGGAAAAACCTTGGGATTTTTTCTTTTCGAGACAAGGTTGTGTAGCTCTGGTTGTCTTGGAACTCATTCCATAGACCAGGCTGGCCTCAAACTCATAGAGATCCGCCTGCCTGTGCTTTCCCGAGTGTTGGGATTAAAGGGTGTGCCACCATCGTCCGTAAAATAATTTTAATCCGCTAGTTTTATGATCTTGTGTATTCGCTCTGCTCCAGTACCCTAGTCAAAGGAAACAGACCTTGTAGTCACCACTCTCAGCACTGGAGGAGGGCGGGGGCAGAGGCCAACTATGTGCACAGTTTTCCTTAAGTGCCCGCGGGCCGCGCCCCTTCCTGCACTCAAGCCTCTCAGCAAAAAGCCTGTTTCAGCTTCTGCGGGCTGGGTCCTGGAGGACCGGAAGCAAACGCTGGCCTCCTTCAGCGCAGGCGCCGACCGGCCGGTCCCATTAGTGGATGTGGACCAGCGCTGTGGCGCGTCCCCGGCTCCTCTTGAGCCCTCTTAGGTCCTGTTTTGAGTGGAGTTCTCAGTCCTCAGTCGCTCACTGTTCCCACATATTTTGGAGCTGGGAAGGACGTGGATGAGGACGTTCTGTGCAGCCTCCCAACCCCCGCGGGATGGCCTAGTCCTTTAACAGCACCAGGCAAGAGTACCGCTCTCAGAACCACTGTGATCTGGTTCTCGGATGCTACCGAAGAAAGCGAGCGGAGAGTGGTCCAAATCTTGCTGCTGATTCTGTGCCGACCCTAAAGACCGTGCGTTTTCGAACGGCAAGTTTCACCTTCTGTAAGGTTCCGGGCCAGACGCCTGCACAAACTGTAGAGCCCGAGCTATGGCGACCGAGCATACCCCAGCAGAGGGAGCACAGTTGGCCCTCTCCTCTGTCACCCTGCGGGAGGAAGAGCCGCAGAAACCCAACTATGCTGTCAAACTTACACTTACGGGGCACTCGGCAGCCATATCATCAGTTAAATTTAGTCCTAACGGAGAATGGCTAGCAAGTTCTGCTGCTGATACACTAATTATAATTTGGGGGGCATATGATGGGAAATGTAAGAAAACACTCTGTGGTCATAATCTGGAAATATCAGATGTTGCCTGGTCTTCAGATTCTAGGCGTCTGGTTTCTGCCTCAGACGATAAGACTCTAAAGTTATGGGATGTGAGAACTGGAAAATGTTTGAAAACACTGAAGGGACACAGCGATTTCGTCTTCTGCTGTAATTTCAACCCACCATCCAACCTCATTGTTTCAGGATCGTTTGATGAGAGTGTGAAAATATGGGAGGTGGAAACAGGAAAGTGCCTCAAGACGTTGTCTGCCCATTCGGATCCCATTTCTGCTGTGCATTTTAATTGTAATGGGTCCTTGATAGTGTCGGGGAGCTATGATGGTCTTTGTAGAATCTGGGATGCTGCATCAGGCCAGTGTTTAAAAACACTTGCTGATGATGGTAACCCTCCCGTGTCTTTTGTAAAATTTTCTCCAAATGGTAAATATATTCTCACTGCAACTTTGGACAGTACTCTTAAACTGTGGGATTACAGCAGAGGCAGATGCCTGAAGACATACACTGGCCATAAGAATGAGAAATACTGCATATTTGCCAGTTTCTCTGTTACTGGTGGAAAGTGGGTTGTGTCTGGCTCAGAGGACAACATGGTTTACATCTGGAACCTTCAGACTAAAGAGATTGTACAGAAGTTACAAGGTCACACAGATGTTGTGATCTCAGCAGCTTGTCACCCTACAGAAAACATCATTGCATCAGCAGCATTAGAAAATGACAAAACAATTAAACTATGGAGGAGTGACTGCTAAAGTCTCTGGCAATCACTGACTAGCGCTAAGTTAGAAGCAAAATAAAAAGGATGGTTTCTCTGAAGTCTGGCATGGTTTTGTAGTTCATTTCAAATTGTCTTTGATTGTGTGAGTTTGAGACATTTTAATTTGTGAAATGAGGCCACTGTAAAAGCAAGTCTAGGTTCTGCTTGTTGGCACTCTCTTATGTTCGTCCCCAGACAGCATCTCATTCTTTTTCTTTCAACAGCTCTCTCAGAGGGGAGGGCATTCGGAACATTTAGAAGGTTGACAGAAGAGGGTGACTGGGAATGAAGGACGTGGAGTTTCTGGTTTGGGAGGTCATTAAGGACAGTGGCATGAGTTTGGGGGGCGGTAATGAGAGGATTAGAGATGTTTTACCTATTTTTGGTGTGAGACATCACCTATTTACGTTGCCTATTTATATGATGGGACATCAGATTGCCAAATAAATCTGTCAAGTTGGGAATAATGTCACTGTCAGGTTCATTCTACAAACTGTAATCCTTCTGCTTGTGTTGTAGAGGGCAGAAGATAACTGTGGGCTCCAGGTCATGAACTTAGGTCAGCCTCTCTCAACAGGATCTTTTATTCACTGAGCCAACTTGCAGGCCCAGAACCTCAAAAGTGTTTTTGAGAAAGGGTCTTGCTATGTAGCCCTATAGGCTTGTAAACCAGGCTGGTCTCAAACTCATAGAGATCCACCTGCCTCTGCTTCCTCAGAATCTTAAACTTTTAACTAAAAAATCTCCTTAAGTACTTTGTAAGATTATGTCATTTTGTGACGTTCCAGGCAAATTACATGTCAGATTGTGACCGCTCTCCACTATTGGACCTCCTAACCCTGGTCCAACATCATTCAGTTCAGAAATCACCTTATGAATCCTATGTTTGCCTGCCCGACACCTCAGTGGGCAGCTGATGTAGGTTCTCAAACTTCAGAGTTACTAACTTGCAGTTGTGATGGCTTCATGGGCCATGTTTTTAGTAGACAATGAACACTAAGATCAGGTCGTCTTGGCTTTTTCTAGAGGTCCTGATATTTATCAGACAACAAATGATGCCATAACTTCATTTCTTACTTGCTGTCAATAAATTTTAGTAATAAAATTTCCCAACTATAACATCGATTAAGAAATATTTTGCAGTAGCCCCACATACTAACTGGAAGGCAGCTATGCTAATCCCTATACCACCAACACCTCAGACCTATACGTCAACTGTATCCACACGGGGCTTACCTAGAAAATATAGATGAAAACCCCTCATGAGATTAAGAACTTTTTATCTTCCCTACAAGTTCTGAGAAATGCATTAGAATTACTTGTAGAGTATGATTGCCAAAATGCTGGTGTGTTTGATTACACTGGAAGATGCAAGATCAGTTAGGGGGCATGGGCGAAATTCTGATCGAGAAATTAAATTTGGATGGGTGTGATGGCTCAGTGTGTGAAGGTACTTGCTGCTAAGTCTGATGACCCAAGATCCATCCCTGGAACCTGCATAGGAGAAAACACATTTCTACAGTTGTTCTTGGACTTCAAAATTCATTCTGTGGCATGGGTACCCTGGCCCTCCCCAAAGACAAGATAAAAATAATGTGAAAAAATTAAAGGACTTAAACCCATAAAGAAATAGTCATGGTATTTTACTGAATAGAGAATGACACACAATAAAAAAAAATGATTGTACAAACTGGTGGTATATCTTTATCATAGGCTTTAAGACAGACCTCTCACTGCTCTTCAATGAAAATGACATTGCTATATGAAGGAAGGTTCCTTAAGGAAGTTCTGCATTAGAATTTACCAATATTCAAAACATGGGCTTGGAGGGCGTTCCCAAAATACTCAAGAAAAATAAATTTTCTAAAAATGCACAAGAAACTGTTTTTTATAATAAATTTGCAAGTGACAAAAATCAAAGCATTTGATACCTAAAATGAAGCAAAGGCAAAAGTACAGTGTACAGACAGACAACATCAATACTATTAGATCATGAATCTGTTGGCAGTATTCCATTACAAATGTACCTCATTAGGTTTCCAGACAGTGGCATGTGGTGCTTTTAAAAATCACACCTATTAGCTCTGAGAAGTAGTGTGTTGGGTGGTTATAATGATGTGTCATCTGTTAGCACTAGGGAGGCGTGCGACAGTCATTGACTTGTTTATAGCAGAAACCACCTGAATACCAGACACCATGGTAGCATAAGGCTAAGGAAACATATAGGGGTATAAGTGCTTATTTTCCAATACTAACAAACAAGAATGTGGATGGCATTTTCCTAAGTACAGAATTTAATTCTCTGGCAGTAGGAAAGGACTATTTTGGGAGCCAAGTCATGAACTAGGAGGTAGCAGCTGCCCCCGGCAATTCTATGATGAATGATAAACACCTCAAAACTCTTGGCAGACTACTCTCCTGAATTTGCCAGGGCACTCTCAAAGGTTCTTCTAAATGCCTCTATGCACTGGCATGCTGGACAATAGTATGCTGTCTGGCTGCTTTTGAGTTTCCTGGGAACCAGTCTCCCCAAAGGCACCCTGGCATTTGGAAGGTTGGCTTCCAAACAAGTATCTGGGTAGTGAACCCAGCTAGTCTTCTTGTCCCTTCAGACATGGTACACAGACCAGAGAAGACCCACACTCTTTGGGTCTCAGAGGGTATGTCAGCCTTGGTATATGAGTAGAAGTTAGGTAGGGTACCTGATGCTTCAAAAACAGTTAATATTAATTTGAAATTAGTTACCTCTTTTTTACTTTCTCTGAAAAGCGGGGAGGCTATGTTTTACTTGGATCAAATCATCAAAACACAGACAAGTCATTCTTTAAGAAAATTTATTTGTTCCTCTGTAGCAGAAATAGGGATGTGGAATAAATCTGTGTCTGCAAAGTGGATCTCGCATCACATTCTTTCCAATGCAGGCTTCTTATCGCAACCTTACTCTCAGGTTTTCCAAATCCAGCACAAACACTTCTACTCTGTTTTGGCCTTCATAGCTGCCTCCTCTCTCAGACGGGCTTTTCTTTCCAGGTTCAAGCTTGTTAAAGACTCGTGTCTTTTCGCTGCCTAAAAGGAAACAAAATTGAAGAGACAGTGATGCCACGTTAAGGAGTATGTCCTTCCCTTGTGTTGACCCAATGGCACAGACCGGAAGTGGTCAGCTCCCTGGATGCTAGGTACAGTAGTGCCCTGTACACACCTTCTCTCCTCTCTGACTTGAGAAGTACATGCTTCTCCTTTCTCTGCCTTTACAACCTCTTTCTCCAAATCCTGTTCTCTTTTTCCTCACATCCTTCATTCTTTTTTATAATGCAGAGCACAATTCCATCTCCATCTCTCTCATTTTATTTCTCCTTCCCTAATTTATGTATATAATTTCTAACACCTTTCTTCTCTCTCTCTCTTTTTTTTTTTTTTGGTTTTTCGAGACAGGGTTTCTTTGTGGCTTTGGAGGCTGTCCTGGAACTCACTCTGTAGACCAGGCTGGCCTCGAACTCACAGAGATCTGCCTGCCTCTGCCTCCCGAGTGCTGGGATTAAAGGCATGCGCCACCAACGCCCGGCCCACCTTTCTTCTCTTTTAATAAAAGCATCAGCTTTTGGAATCCCAGGCTTTACCAAAATATTGCCCTTGATGACTTCTGGAATTATCTATCCCCAAACTCCATCCACCCTTCTAAAGTAAATGGCAGTGGGGGAAGCAGCCCTCCATTTTTCTTGCTTCCCTCAATGTGAACTGTTAATCTCTATGAAGCTTATATTAATCAGAGCAGTTTTTAGGTCAAGTATGTGAATCTTGCAGCCACCAAAGCTGAGATTTTCTGACACCCATGTTATTTCACATGTGAAGAATCTGGTGGGAGGAGGAAAAAGATGGGGGAAAGAATGTCAATGGTAAGGACAAACCATAATGGTAATTATCTCTTCTAATGACATTTAGCTCTAAAGTTTTTCATCCTAGCACACACCCTGAGAAGGTGCTGGAGGACATCCTAGGGGAATTATTTGCTTCTGCAGATTTATTTATTGGTTTTTTGGGGCAGTGTTTGTGGCTTTGGAGGCTGTCCTGGAACTAGCTCTTGTAGACCAGGCTGGTCTCGAACTCAGAGATCCACCTGCCTCTGTTTCCCAAGTGCTGGGATTAAAGGCGTGCACCACCATTTCCCGGCTTCTGCAGATTTATGTATACAGTGTTCTGCCTGCATGCCAGAAGAGGGAACAGATCTTATTATAGATGGTTGTGAGCCACCATGTGGGAGCTGGGAATTGAACTCAGGACCTCTGGAAGAGCAGACAGTGCTCTTAGCCTCTGAGCCATCTCTCCAGCCCCAGCTTCTGCACATCTTTAACATCAAGCATTTCTCAGCATCCTAGAAATCCACATGTCTATCCGCAGGCTTCTGACGGTTCCAGTCTGAAACTGTGAAGGAGAGGTCAGCTGGGGAGACAGGAAAAGTGGAGCGGGATGGGCTCATTTCCAGAGAACTTCCCTCGGGTCAGTGCCCTTGCCCCTTCGTGCTCCTGTGAGGCCGCATCGAAATGGCTAGTGTTCTCTGTGACTGCAAGGCACAGGGAGCCAAGAGTTCATTTCCTTTTCACTCTGGAGTTGCTCAGGGTAAGGAGGTCAGTTGACAAGCACTTCCACAGAAAAACTTTTTCTTCTTTCTTTCTTTTTTTGTTTCTATTTTTTTAGACAGGGTTTCTCTGTGTAGCCTTGGCTGTCCTGGAACTCACTTTGTAGACCAGGCCTTGAACTCAGTGACCTGCCTGCCTCTGCCTTCTGTGTGCTGGGATTAAAGGAGTGCACCATTACAGGTGAAGAATCTTTTTAATATGTAACAACAGTTAAAGGATGTCTCTATGTGAAAGCTATGACATAGAATTAGACATGATAGTCAAAGTGTGTTCTTAAATTTAAAAGCATACACACATACTTTAGAGTTTACTTATTTTTATTTTATGGGTATTAATATTTGCCTGTATGTATGTCATGTAACCACATGCATGCCTGATACCTGTGAAGGTCAGAAGAGGGTACCAGATCCCCCAGAACTGAAGTT